CAGGTGTCTTTCGTCAGATGAAGGTGTTTCAGAGGGATTTCTTAGACAAATTAGAATAAAAACACAAGGCAAAATGTTAGACAATTTATAAACTAAGTTTTTATAACTGTTTTACGTTCCAAAAGTATAGAGCAATTAGCAAACACAAAATGTAAGAAGCCAGTGGTATACAGAGCACAAAGCTTTCGTGCCACGCCAGGTCATGTGGGTGATATCTGATCACTCAGAAATGCAGAAACTTTGGCTGAGGACACAGTTTTTCCATTCCTTATGAATTCTGGGAATAGCTAGGATTCTAAAAGTAGTCCTAGAAGACCTAAATTCCATTCTAGTCACTGTTTTTGAATCAAAGGGACTCACAAACCTATGGCACTCAGTCCGCAAGAAGTCCTGAATTTATAACCAAGAGGCAGGGAAGAGAGAAAGGTTTCACCTTTTAGTTTTCTTTGTGAGCTGTTTTCTTGTATCTAGGCTTCTGTTGTTAAAACTAGATGCTAAGTGGTTAGGAAATGTCATACAGTTTTGTTCATTTTAGTCAGGTACACTGTCTTTACACTGGAGACTTTTCAGAGTTATTGTCAATAATATGGACAATGAATTTCAGACAGACTTCACATTTATTTTTTAATACTGAAATTTGTTTGCTATCTTAAGGAGTAGGGCTAAGAGAAAGATGGTTTTTTGTTTTTAAAATAAAGTGTAAATTGGTACAGCCTTTTCGGAATCATTTTGGCAATATTTATCAAATTTGAAAATGCTTATACTCTTTGTTGTGCAATTCTACTTCCAGGAATCTATTCCTCAGATATAATCATATGTGTGCAAAGATGTTCATACATAAGTGAGATTCTCTGCGATATTATCAGTTATTTTAAATAATTAGAAACAATGAAAATTTCCACTATTTTATAAAATGTTAAATTATGGTACACGAAACTACGAAATACCATGCAATATTAAACAGAATTAAGTGGATAAAAAGTACTAATGTGAAATAAAATCTCCAAAATTATCAAGTGGAAAAAAGCAAATGAAAAATGGTGAGGGTTTAGAAGGATGCATAGAGAATTGTTACACTGATTATCATGGGCAGGGGGTGATTTGTGAAGAAAAATAATCACAACTTTTCAATATTTAATAGTTTGAATTTTTCAAAATGAGCATGTATAATTATATATATTTTAAAATACAATTATTGATTTTAGAGAGAGAGAAAGTGGAGAGAGAGAGAGAAACATTCATCAACTGCCTCCAACTGGGGATTGAGTATGAAACCCAGGCATGTGCCCTGACCAGAATGGAACCGGGGACATTTTGATGCACAGGAGAAGCTCAAACAACTCTGCCACACTGGCCAGGGAAATAATTATATTTTTTTGTGTAAATAAAAAATTAAGGCTGTATCAACAGAATATATTCCCCAGAGCAAGACTGCATCAGCTACTATCTTGCTGATATTTTTAATACCCACCTGCCTATGTCAGGTAGCAATGTTTACAACTGCAACTTAATATTTAGACTTAACATACAAAACAAAATATATTTGACCTTTTGGAAAGAGGGATTAAGAGCAAATACAGTACCTTAAAGGTACCTGAGATATTTGAAAATTTTGGCCAATAAATGAACTAAACCACAGAATCCATTCAACCATGAAGGCTGGAATCTGATTTTCTTGGGTACCCCTGCAGTGCTTGACACATAGTAAACACTCAATAAATATTAACTGAATGATGGATAAATAGACAGTTAAAATCTTTCTAGTAGCACCCACTTATTTAAAGGCAGCATATTAGCAAGGATAGATTATACCTTGTTACTTGAGTTTCCTACTTGTTTTTCAAATGAGGAGGCAGAGAGGGAGCAGCCCTTTCTCTACTTACGAGGTTAGGAATCTGGTCCAGGACAGCGTTTAGTGGCTCACATTTTGGTGACCTGTGACTTGAAAAAATCATTCCATTTCAAAACTAGACAGAATATAAGAGGGGGAAAAACAAGCCAGTTGCCGATATTGGCAATTCACATATATGCATATATTGGCAACTCGCTTGGTTTTTATATAAAAATTATATATAATATACGTAAAATTATAGATACATATAATTTTGCTCAAACTAAAGGGCTCTAGTGGCTGTAAATATGGGCAAATCACCGTTTTCATGTTTAAATTTTTATCTGAAAAAAGGGTATCACTCCCTCTTAGGTTTTCGTTGCTTTTTACATGGAGAAAAGTGGAAAACTTTTATAAAATGCTGGCATTAGAGTGGCCATTCCTTATCGTACCATGCATGTTTCATATAAATTCAATCCCAGACTGTGGGGTCGAAAAGCCCCCGGAGACTAAACCTGTACAAAAAAATCAAATGTTCTCCGGTTCGGGGCAGTCTCTTCAAGCTCGTTCCCCTTCATCGCAACCACACCTATCGGGCCGGTGAGGGTCCCGGAGTCGAATCCCAGCGGGCAACCGGCGGAGCCGGCACGGGCTGCATTTCGGCCCCGCTGGGCTCCCGAGCCCGGGCTTCCCCGAACCGCAGCGCCCGGGG